TGGAGACGGCTCCTAACCTATACTTCTTCTCAAGGTCATGTTTTTTATTAATAGATTTTAGTATTCCCTTTGTAAGCCATGGAGTGTTTAACCTTTTATTTGTGACTTGTTTCGTTAGCATCGGACAGTGGGAGTTATAAAGGCTCAGAGTTTTCTGTAGAAATGTTTGCACTGCTAGGTTGATGTTCCCTGTTACCTAATTCAGCCTCCCAGTTGATATTAGCAGCAGCAATAAATTTGCTTATAGAAGTTTCATTGTGCAGCCTAAAGCTTATCTTCCTTGTATCTAGAGGTGATTTATTAATGTTAGGAGAAATGTAGGGTAATGGTCTGTGGTCTTATTATTGATTGTCAGTGAAGTATGTGGAGAGGTTATGTTAGTCCAGATGTGGTCAAGAGCCGTGTCAGTACTATCAGTGATTCTAGTATTTCTAGTGATTAAGGGAATGAGGAAGCAAGAATTCATACAGTTGAGGAAACTAGAAGCAGGATGGTTATCAGGCTCACCGAGGTCAATATTAAAGTTCCCTGAAATAATTAAATGGTTTTTGTTCAGTCTGTTATCAATACTGTATTAGATTTCTAAGGTTAGAGTTTAATTCAGACACATCAGTGTTAGGAATTCTATAGACTGCTCCCACAGTCAGGACAGTCTCAGCACCCTTGACTCTGAAACAGGCAAAGATATACTCTCCACAGGAGTCTCTAGTTCTAATTACTTTTAAGCATGTCAGTTCTTGGTGGTAGTAAAGCGCAGTACCACCACTTTTCTGAATTGGACGAAAGTTGTGAATTGCCGAGTAGTTTGGCATGTTAAAGAGTTGAGTAGTATCCTGTTTTAACCATATTTCAGCAAGTATAACAAAGGAGAATTTGTTGTCAACAGTTTAAATCAAGGCACTAACATCATCAGAGTGTTTGCTTAGAGATCTTACATTCAAGTTAATTACAGAGACATTGTGATTGTGTAAATACATTGTTTACATCTTGTGCTGTATAATATCTGCAATTTTGATCATTAAAGTGATGATTGTCAGAGATACTAGATAAGAGGTTTAGTTCTGGGTCTATACTCATTTGCTTAAGAGGGCTGGTTGTAGGAAAAAAAGGCAAAAGAGGCAATTAAGAAAGATCTAGATATGAAAGGGAAAAAAATATATGCAAAACTATACAAAACAAACAAACAAATGAGGTAGATTGCTCTCAGATACTCTCAGGTACACAAAGTAATATTTTGCACTTGGAGACACAGGTAAAGCCAGGGAGCCGGTCTTCCGAGCGGACAGCACGCTGGACTTGTGATCCTGTGGTCCTGGGGTCGATCGCAGGCGCCGGCGACAAACAAAGGGCAGAGTTTCTTTCACCCTATGCCCCTGTTACCTAACAGTAAAATAGGTACCTGCGTGTTAGTCAGCTGTCACGGGCTGCTTCCTGGGGGTGGAGGCCTGGTCGAGGACCGGGCCGCGAGGACACTAAAGCCCCGAAATCATCTCAAGATAACCAGGGGTACAATGGAGTAAGGGAGTATGGAAAGACTAGGCAACCTAGGTAATAAAGAAATTAAAGAAAAATAAGTTTAATAAACATAGGCAAATTTAATCTTAATGATAATTAACTATAAATAGTTTAGTTATGAACCTATAATTAATGTGAACTAAAGAAAATAAAAATGAACTCGATTAATTAAGTCCAATAACTGACTAATATATATCAAATTAAAATTTAATTTAAACAAACAGTGTAACAAAGAAAGCTAGGTTACCTGGTCTGCACTAGGTGACAAGGGGGTTAATTATGATGAGTCATTGATAGAGATAATAAGGTGAGACAAACCACATTAGGTGAGGAATGTATTGAGGCTATCCTCATTATCAATTTTAAACATTTTACCTGCAGAAGTTTTTATCACTTTTATCATGCCAGTTCTGGAGGTTTAGTATAACCTATTATACTAAAGTATAGTTTAGTTTTATTTAGTACTTAGTTTTATTCTTAATTTAACTGGTTGAAAGAGGTACAGCCTTTGACATGATTTGGAAGGTCATTCCATATTCTGGGTCAAATAATTTGCAGAGCATTTCTAGTTTGGTTAGGTTGTTCTCTTGGAATATCAAATAGGTATTTGTTTCTAGTGTGGTGCCAATGGGTAATGTTACAACATTCTAGGAAGTGTTTAAGGCCAGGATTGGCATTACAGTTCAGAGTTTTATATATGTTGTTGAATATGACCGAAAAGGTAAGATTAATAATTCTAACACGAATCTTCTAAATATTTCTTATGTTTTTCTTCACTGCCAGTGGTAATAAAAATAACAATTCTCCAAAATTCATTTTTAATTGTCTAAATTAAAGTTTTATATATATGGAGTACACTTGAAAGGATGTGCAGTGACTTAATATCTAACATATTCAAAGATATAAGTAGGGGGGCTGAGTGCTGTCTGGTGCCAGAGTTTGTTGTTCTAAAAGCAGATTTGTGTTGGGTAATTAGGGTACGTAGATGATTTTGAGTAGTGGCCCCAAGCAGATACAGATCCACCAGATACAGATGCATTTACAATGCATCTCTCTAGGTGTCTACCCATGTCACCCTGTAATTTAAAAAGTAATAACTTGAAAACTAATAAGAATAAATTAAATATAACCTAAATTTGATGGTTTAGCAATTATATACTGGGGGTATGATTTTTGTAGGAACTTTGTACTGAATTAAGGGGAAATTAGCATTATAATGTTCATGCTAATATGATTTTGTATTATTTGATAGTATTTTTCTGGGGAAAGCCCCTTGTAGCCCCTTGAAGCTACCATCTCCAATGTAGGTGCCACCAGTTGTGGAATTCTCTGTCCTATCAGGAACCCAGCACCAGAACCTGGTCCCCTCACAGAGGCATAGGGCGCTGTGGCATTTATATATTAAGTTATTCATATATGCAACTACCAAGGAAGGCACTCAGAAAATCAGTGAGTCAAAACAAACCATAGGTAGTTGCCATCGAGACCTGCAGGCTTGAAAATGGCCATAGAACTCTTTCCCCTTTTTTGGGACAGGAGGGGAGCAGGCCATGACTAACAAGTTGCTCCATTGTCATTTTAATGTAAGAACCTGATTCCGTGGGGAAGGGAGTGTGTCAGGCAGCCACTGGGGCTTGCCCAGAAATTGACATTTCATTACAATCAATGCTTGTGTTCTGGGGAGGAGCACCTTGTGGCTCCCAGAAGCTAACTACCTTTGAACAAAGAAGAAATGAGCACTTGCCAGGGAGGAGGGACCACCGCAGGTATCATAGCGAAGAAGAGACCATCGACCTAGAAAGCCGGCCCTAGGCCACACAGGTGCGCTGAGGCCCAGGAACATTGGTCGAGTTCTGCACCACCTTGTTCATCCTCCACAACCCCCACACATGAATATCACTCCAGGACACATTAGCAAAAACAGCCAAAAGAGCAGCATACAGTGACACCTCGGCTTACGAATGCCCCTCTTTACAAATTGTTTGGGTTATGAGCACAATTTATTTGTAAAATTTGAATCGGTTTACGAGCTTTGCCTCGGGTTGCAAGTTTTTTTTTATACATGTATGGGTCAATCGAGCTCGTGGTTCCTGGTGGCACGGTCGCCTGCGCGTCATGGCAACTACTGATGGTTGGCAACCATCAGTGGCCCCCACTTAGTGACGATCACGCTTCAATTCTTTGTAAAGAATTTCATTTTTTTCTTGTTTGGTTCCTGAACATAAAAGTAATTATTATATATCATGCCATGGATCCCAAGAAAGTCAGTGGTAAGGTTCAACCTAAGAAAACACATGTGAGGATGACCATTGAGGAAAAACAAGAGATCATTTGTAAACATGAAAATGCTAAAGGAATTGTTGAATTATAATCAATACAACAAATCTTCAAGGGAAAGGAAGCAGTAGAAGATGTCCCTTCCTCATTAATTAAGAAAATGTGTGCAGTATTGGAAGAACTGCAAAGTTTTACTGAAAAGACTTGGCCAGATAAATCTTTAGCAGGCCGTTGCATTGACCTTATTAATGACAATGTGATGTCTTTCTACAGACAAGTGTTAAAATGTAAGGAAAACAAATGTCTTTAGACAGATTCTTAGTAAGACAAGCAAGTAGTGAGCCACATCCAGGTCCTTGTCGTATGCCTGCAAAATGTAGGAGAGAGTACCCCAGAGAAGTCATCACTGACCGGTGTTATAATGGAAGGGGACTCCCCTTCCAAACACTAACACCTCTCCTCCTACCCCCTTCCTCACTGTCTTCCATACACCAACAAGCCATCAATAAAGGTAAGCTGTAACTTGTACATACTATAGTATAAAATATGTATGTATTTTGAAGTTAATATTTTTTGAGTGTGGAACGGATTAACTCAATTTACATTATTTCTTTTGGGAAAATTTGATTCGGGTTGCGAATTTTCGGGTTGTGAGTCGTCTCTGGGAACGGATTAAATTCGTAAACAGAGGGGCCACTGTACAGTGCCTACAAACGTCATGGGCACGAGGGTAGACCACAAACTGGCTAGAATTAATAATGTTGGGTCCCCGGTAGGCCAGAGAACTCGATGACTGATGACACTTACATCAGAGGGATGGTAGCTTCAAGGGAGCGACCCAGAAATTGGTGTTTCATTACATTCAATGTTCATTTTTTTTTTAGTACTGTATAGATATTCGAAGAGTTCCTTGCTTTTTTTTTATTCTATGCATTGGTATAGATTTTTTCTTATTGATCTTTATGTTCAGAGACTAGTAACTATCCAAAGGTGGACAACTTTGCCCAAACAAAATTCTAACCATTTCTGATAAATAGCCTAAAAGTCTAAATATTGCAAATTCTGTTAAGGTTCAGATTAGTGTGATCCTCAATTTGAAGGTTTGATTATATTTTGCTATTTTTTATTTATTTTTTTTTTTTTTGAGATATATACAAGAGTTGTTACATTCTTGTACAGTAATTTATTGCTTGCGTTACGTTGCAAAGCTGGATGACTGTGTGCAACTGTATCGTGGAACTTGGGATGAGCCGCAGCCCCCCAAAGTGCCCAAGTGGCGTGTACGAGTTGCAGAGAGTGGTCCTTCTGACGACATTGAAGAAGTGGTTCCACCACTGCGACCCCTCCAACCTCGTCGTGAAACTCTAGTAGTCACACTCTCTGACCCTCAATGGGAGGGCTTTCGCAGCATGCTCACTAGTAGCATTCAATGCAGGTTCACCAAGGCTGCAGAGTTTTTGGATCAGATCTGTAAGTTTCCTTCATTGATTTAATCCTTATTATTATGCAGTACTGTACTGTATAGTGTTGATTTGTGGAGTATTTTAATGTTTAATTCACTCCAGGTTGGCACTTGCTGTATGTTATATACTTTTGAGTAACAAAGGTAATGTTTAAAGTTTAAATTAGCAAAATTAAATACAGTGGATATTATTGCAATTTGCCAGAGGTATTTCAATCAATAAATATTGTCGCACAATGGATGAGGTGCCAGTCACTTGGGCAGTTAGGTTAAGCACTATTGGTTCTGATCAGTAATTGGATGAATGGCTGCAGTCACTTTTACACTTGTCAGGATGGACTTTGAAAAACCTAATAAGCTTCATATTCCAAAGAATTGTATACCATTACAGTGCTGATTTAATTTTGTTTTAGTATCCTGCATCTAAAAAAAAAAAAAAGAAAGCATTTGATTATTTCTATGCTATTTAGTTGTCAAATACAGTACTGTACTGTACTGTATTGTACAAGTACAGTGTTCCCGCCAAACATACGACAAAACTGCAATGTTGCTACAACGTTTGAACAAATTTTAACCCCTAACAAGTTGTAACAACCAATATAGCAAGTTGTAACAAAGATTTAATGTCATAAAAATGTTAAAACAAGATGTAACAACTTTATTACAAGTTGTAATAAGCAGAAAATAGGGACAGTTACATTGTGTGTTTGCAGGGCTGTTGAGTATGGTACTAGATACAGTATTGTTTTTGTATTAAGATAAATGTGCTTTGCATATCTGCTGTGCTCTCGCGAGTTAATACCCGATGTGATGTAACATTGATTTTCATGTCAAAAGTTTAATGTTTTATACAATTATCCTCATATTTTGTTCACATTATGTAGTGTATATTGTACTATTCAACAATCATATGATTATATATTTTAAATATTATATAAATTTTATTATACATATTTAAATAGATTATATATTTTATATAGCCAGTGAATGGTCATCTGTGTTAAATGGGAATGTAAGAAGTGAGATAGACCATTTCCTGAGCCAGGATGCAGAACTAGACGAGTATGCAGGCCAGGTTCGCCATTACTCTGCCTATGTTGAGCAGGCTAGTCACGTTCCTACCTCTGCCACGCTTCATGTCTTTAGGTATGTTCCATCATTGTACACTGATTTTAACTGGGTGCAGAGTTGTTACCTTGCTCTTCAAGTTTTCATTACTGTCCCTCAAAAACCTAATTATATCTCATGATTATATCACAGTGGTCTGTAATTTTGCCAACTTGTTGTGCAAGCCACCCATGCTAATATTTTCCTCATCAAAGCCCCACAAAACAAGCACACTTGTCCTTCCTCATGCCTGTGGCCATCTTTGATTTTGTTGTCTGTAATTGTTTTAAATAGCATCTTTATTCATCCAATTTTTTCACTCACCCTTGCACATTTGTTTTGTCTTGGCTACACCTTTGTATACTGGGACACCACACAGTTATCAGCATGTTCTACAATACTTAGACCGTTGAAATATTCTAGAGCTCCTTGATGTGCATCAGCCCTGCAAGATAAACAAACTGTGCACTGCACGAAGTATGGCATTGCTCTCTGCATGCTTATATATTTTACAGAATGTAACATACACCTGTAATTCTAACTAAACAAACTCACTGATGATCATGTATATAGTGTATTATAAAATTTTGTACAGTGTTTTTATGAGACACATAATTAGTGATATAAAATATTATGTAATGGATATTTATTTATTTATTTATTTATTTATATATATATATACAAGAAGGTACATTGGGGGTTAAGAGTACATAGAAATGATGTTGATTTTACATTCTTGTAAAGCCACTAACACTAATAGCATTTCGGACATAGTTATATGTCTATATTTGTAGATACAGTATATGTTTTAACAACTTTTTGTATAATAAAAAACAATATTCATACACTAAAGCAATATGCGAGTACCAAAAAAAAAAAAACCCCACCTTTGAATGCAATGAAATGCCATTTTCTGGGTGAGTCCCAGAATCTCCCCAGAGCTTACTGGGCTGAAATGCATGTATTAGACCGTGGCATCAGTCAATTCGACTGGAGTTCTATGCCTATCAAGGACCATGAGCCAGAACCTGGCCCCTTCAGAGAGGCGCGAGGAGCAATGGCCTATAGAAACCCCCATGTGGTTGGAAGCATTCTATATCTGCCATCTACTGGGTTAGGCACCAAGAAAGGTAGGCATCCCAAAACAAACTACAGCTAGTTAAAAATTGTGACCAAAAGCCAAACTAGCAAGTACTGTAGAACTCTCCAAACCAAAAACAAGCAAACAAGCATAACATCACCATGCTGCTGTCTGCGCAGCTCCCCCCTTCCCGGGAGGGGAAAGAGAGTGCCCCAGCCCCCCCCCCCATGCTGGCTATCCAACCCCAGTTCAGAGGCTGAATGTCAAAAATGCAAAAAAAACATCGACCGGAGGGAGGAAGGGTTGCTGGGGGAGCCTCGCCCAGAAAATTGCCTTTTGATGCAGTTTTGTGCCTTCTTGTGCCTTGTAGGGAGCCGGTCGGCCGAGCGGACAGCACGCTGGACTTGTGATCCTGTGGTCCTGGGTTCGATCCCAGGCGCCGGCGAGAAACAATGGGCAGAGTTTTTCACCCTATGCCCCTGTTACCTAGCAGTAAAATAGGTACCTGGGTGTTAGTCAGCTGTCACGGGCTGCTTCCTGGGGGTGGAGGCCTGGTCGAGGACCGGGCCGCAGGGGACACTAAAAAGCCCCGAAATCATCTCAAGATAACCTCAAGATAACCTCTTTGCCTGGCCAGTGGCTTGTACTTTTCTTTTCAAGTGTATGTGTGTATGCATGTACATGTGTACACTGTGTGTGTGCACATGTGTATGTGCATACGCACGTGTGTATAACATACCTTGTGTGTATATGTATGTGTATATACACGTATATACATGATATGTATATATGTGTATGTGTACTTTTTCTTTCGGAAGGGGTCAATCCGCCCCATCCTTCTGGGGTTCCCGTCTGCTTTTTGCAGACATGGGCCTTTCGAATCTGCAGTTCTTCTGGACTTCAGTCTGCGCCCTGGTTTCTATGCCCTCCTTGGAGGACTGTTGTCTCCTGTCCGGCTTCTGTTGGGGCCAGGTGCCTGGATGGTGGCCCTGGACCTCCAGGTCAATTATTGGCACTTGGGGTATTTTTGCATCTTTACCGGATCTTGGTGCCCTGTCTGAGTCTGTTTGAGATTCGGTGTCTGGCCTACCTCAACGACTGGCTGGTGTGGGCTCACAGTCGGTCCGCTTGTCTGCTCGCCAGGGGTGTGGTTCTTTCCTGATCACCGGGTTTGGTTTCCTGGTGATCGGGAGGCCATTCCATCTGTTTCTGTCCTGGGTTCGGACCTGGGCCTTGTTTAGGGCTATTGGGCCACTCCTTGTCTTTCCCTCCAGAAGTGTTACTGCGGCTGTGGTCCCGCCTTCGGCTGTTCATGAGGGGGTTCCGGGTTACTCGAGCGGTTGTGCGGGAGTCTGAACTTCGACGTGCTGGTCTGTCCGCGGGGTCAGGTTTGGCTTCGGCTTCTGTTTGGGTCCTTCGGAGACTCCCCTTCCGCCTCTTGCAATCGTTGGGTTTGTTCCTCCGGGGATCTTGTGTTGGTGCTGTGTCACCAGCTTCTTCTTTGGGGTTTTCGGGGTTCCGTGCCTTGGCACCTCCCCGAGCCTTCGCTCGATGTGTTCACGGATTGGCCAGTCGTCACCGACTCGTTTCGTTGGCTCTGCCTGACGTATGGACTCCTGGCCATTGACGTCTTCGAGTCGGCGTGGTCTAGGCGTCGCCCATTTTATGTGGCGACCTTACCCACCTGCGAGGCGTTCACGTTGGATGCTTTTCGGTAGGACTGGTCGAGGTGGGGGTACCTGTTCCTCTTCTACCGGTCCAGCTGTTGCTTCGGGTTCTGGCTCGGTTGCAGCCTGTTCCCATGAAAGCAGTCCTTATGGTTCCTTGGTGGCCGGCCCAGCTTTCTTTTCAGACGCTGCTTGATAGGTGCCTGGACCCGGGGCATTTTCCCGCGACTCCGCCTCTTTTGGCAGGTCGGATCGGTCCTGTACGTGACTGGTTCGGCCTTCTCCTCGGCTCTTCACATCTGGTATTTTGATGCGGGTATCACCATCTCTGTGGTGTTCAGGTGGTCTTGTTGATGGTGTCCCACCAGCGAGCTTCGTCTTGGCGACAGTATGACGTTCCTGGTGTTTCTATGCACTTTTTCTTGCTCTTTGTACATTGTCTTTTCTTTCGCATCGGGTTGTCTTGTCCTTTCTAGGGTTTTCAGGACTACGGTTATTTGATGTTTCTTACTGTTGCCTCGTTTTGTGCGGCGCTGGCAGAGCCGCTCCGGCTTCCATTCAGGGTGGACGTCACATCTGCCCCGTTTCGTATGCTTTCTCGTGTTTTGTTTCACCTCCGGCCTGCTCATGCGTCACCTGCGCCGTCCTGGTCCTTGATCAGGGTGCCTTCTTATCTTCTCCTCAGTTTGTGGTAGCCCCTTCGGTTCAGGTTTCTGCTCTTTGGTACTGGTGGTAGATTTGTACGTGTGCAGCCTTTCTCTGTCCTGGCGATGGTCGAGACGGCTGGTTTCTGGAGGGGTTCTTGGGTTATTGATGCGTGATTGGTTCGGCCGGGGGTGCGTCCTGTGTTGTCCAGTTGCGCTTTTTGCCGTTACCTGCGTACCGTGTCTGGGGATGCACTTTGGTTGATCCGGTTCCCCTTGTTCCCTGTTTCAGGGCTCGGGTCTCCCAGGTCGTCCCCAGAGTTTTTCAGTCTTCCAGCCGGCAGTCTGTCTTTGCGCCCGTGCTGTTCGGACGTTTGCAGCTTTTGCTGCTGTGTTGATGTCCAGGGCTCATTTCGGGTGCAGGAAATTGAGGGTCGCACAGGTTCTTGGCCGTCCATTCTTTATGCGCGTCTGCTCCTGTGCATTCTTGTTGCCTTGGGTAGCAGGTTGCATCCTGTTGTCTCAGCTTCGCGTTGCGGAGTTTGTGGCAGCTGCCACCTGGGTTAGCCCTTTCTTTTCCTTCTCTTTGGGTATGAAACTCCAGGGAGCAGTAGGGGCTCCCCACAGCTCCCCTAATGAAACGCCATTTTCTGGGCGAGCCCAGAGGCTCCCTGACAACACTCCCTCCCACTGGTCGGCAGTTTTTTCGCGTTGGTTGAAGCTTAGCTTCCGAACTGAAGCTTGGCAGCCGGCGCGGTAGGTCCGGGGCTCCCCCCTCCCCCTCTCGGGGCGGGGAGGGCTGCGCGGATGATCAGCGCGGCAGTAAAGTGTGATGTTTGCATGTTTGCTTGTTTACTTGGGATTGTAGGGAGTTTCTACCTCTCTGTTCGGTTTTTTGTTTTAGTTTTTTACCATGTGGGGTTTGTTTTGTCATGCCTACCTTTTTGGGTGCCTGACTTCGGTCGATGGCAGATAAGGAAAACCCCAACCACTGTGGGTTTTCCAGTGCCATTGCTCCCTGAAACCTCTCTGAAGGGGCCAGGTTTTGGCGCTGGTCCCTGGTAGGTCTGAACTCCTTAGCTAATGTCCCGGTCTAATATAACATACATTAGCCTGATAAGCTCCAGGGAGCCTCGGGGCTCACCCAGAAAATGGCGTTTCATTACATTCAACGCTGGTTTTTTGTGTAACAGAAATGTATCTTGTAGTTAAGTGAAAACAGATTCACTATCTACTAAACCCATAGAACAAACTACTGTATGTGGTAAAAGTGTGTTTATTTGTAATAAATAATTAATTTTACTTTTGGCAGACTAGAGTATAAATTTCTACGACAAAGTCTGCTGTTGGTGTCATCTTCCTTTGTATCAATGCTGCGAGACAAACTGATAGCTGATCACCGGGAAACAACACAGGGGTAAGGCTTATGACAATTATGTTAAGCTCTTGCATGTGTGACGGTAACGCGTTGGTGTTCGGCTGTTTAAGGCTAGGGGTATGGCCTCGTCACATAGTTATAAAAAAAAATAGAAAAAACTGGAACTTCGTCTGTGGTAAGGTAAGGAGAAGACACACAAAACACAAGTAAACTTTAACAATGAAATTTTAATTACGTTAATTAAATCAAAACATGAATAAAATGCACAAACAAATTCTTATAATAAAATCAATCAAAATAATAAGAATAATTAGATGACACAATGAAAAGTTACGTTAAGGCAAAATAACAAGAAGTGCAATACAAAAGTAAATGGGAGGTGTTGGAATATTGGCTTTAAGCCACCACTTCTCTCAGTACACGCTAGCGTCTAGCCGGGAGGAGTGGTGACAACGAGAGCACTGAACATTCTGAGGTATGAGGTTGGGGCGACCCCAGACATCAAGTAGTATGGGGGGGCGAGTGCAGGTGCAGCCAGACCGGCGACCAATCAGCGGAGCCGGTAGCGATCAACATGTAGTTTGGTGGTTTGAGTCCGAACAGGTGGCTGGCTGCATACGTTTTGCTCACCCTGGCAAGCCTTGCTGGTGTTGTTGTTGTTGTTGGACATGTCTTCCATAGTCGTTTTATATAATTTCAACGACGTGTTTGTGGAGGGAAGAGCAGGCTCAATCTCTTGAAGGAGATTATTGTCACAACTCTCCCCCGAAGCCTGCGGTTCTGGAAGAAGTACGTCGTTATGTGGTGGAGTAATGGATGGAGTCGCTTCTACTTCATAAACTCTGGAGAGATCATGGGCTAAGATGTTGTCAGACTCTTGGTATAGCGTGTCTCCAGGTTGAATTTCTGCAGGTAGCAAGCCCATAGTAGAAGACGTTGAGATGAGAAGTGGGCGTGCTGCAGGAGGTGTAGGGTGGTGTGGTCCGTATTGATGGTGGACCGAGCACTTTTCAGGTGTGAAGTGAAGTGCTGAAGCTTCAGGATGAGGAAGAGTAGTTCCTTGCCAATTGTTCCGTCGTTCCTTGTAGCAGTAGTCGCTGACAGGTGTATTCTTCTCGCCTCGTTGCTGCATCACGACACCACCATCGTCGGTACCATTGGCGTCGACATGGAGGATGAAGGGCTTATCTGACGAGGTGAGAGTGGAATTAGAAGAGGGCAAAGGAGCACGATTATTATCCTGAAAGCATTTGGGAAGATCATTAAGGATTTCGGAATTAGAAAGCGCTGACTCCTTGTCAGTGCTTTCGGGAGGAGAAGCTGGGAAGGTCTCACTGTGGATGTAGGGTTCTGTGAATGTGGAATAGTTAGTCAAGACAGTGGGAGGAGTACCATTATATTGCTTCAGGAGGTTGACGTGGCACAGCTGGGTCTTCCGCCGCCTATCTGGAGTCTCTATGACGTAAGTGTTGTTGCTTCTGCACTCTTTGACGCAGTAGGGTCCTGAAAATCTGTTTTGTAAAGGTGAACCTGGGATAGGGAAATAGGCAAGGACGAAGTCTCCCGGCTTGAATTTTCTTACTTTGCTGGTCTGGTCGTAATGAGTCTTCATTCTCACCTGGGCTTTCAATAGATTATCATGGGCAAAGCGGTGGACTCTCTCTAGAATGTGTTGAAGGTTTTGAAGAAACTGGGGCACATTCTGATGCTCACTGAAGGTGGCATCTCTGAGAGAGTCTTTGAAAGCCTTAAGGGGAGTACGGCACTTACGGCCGTAGAGCATCTCATAAGGAGATACTCCTAGGGACTCATTGGGGAGACTTCTGAAAATACACATTATTAGGTCAATCTGCTTATCCCAATCCTTTGAGGTTTCACTACAAAACTTTTTCAAGAGTGCTTTGATGGTCTGATGACTACGTTCAAGAGAACCCTGTGAAGCAGGATGATAGGGGCTGGACAATACCTGTTTGATGTTGAACTCCTCCAGTGTCCTTTTGAAGAGATCACTGGTGAAGTTGGTGCCACAGTCACTTTGAATCTCCCTGGGAAATCCGTATTGAGTGAAGATCTTCAATAGATGTTTTATAACCGTAGCAGCCGTGATGTTCTTCACTGGAACTGCTATGGGAAATCTGGTGGTAGGACACAGGATGGTTAGGATGTAGGCGTTACCTGAACTGGTCCGAGGTAAAGGACCAACACAGTCTATTATGAGTCTGTGGAAAGGTTCCGCAGGCACCTGTATGGGAATCAGTGGTGCTCTGGGAATGGAGACGTTCGGTTTGCCTGCCATCTGACATGTATGACACTGTTTTACGTACTGTTTGACGTTATTTACCATACCTGGCCAGTAGTAGTCTTGACGAATCCCATGGTAAGTCTTGTTGAAGCCGTAGTGGGAGAATGCTCCGTGGGCCAGGTGTAGAATAGTGGGCCGCAGGCTGGTGGGAATCACAAGTTGTTCGATGTTGGCCCAATCGTCCTCCTCCTTCAGTTTACTGGGTCTATATCTGCGGTAGAGCAAGTCGTTCTCTAGGAAGAACCCAGGAATACTGTCGGGTTGAGTCTCAGCCTGGAAAAACAATGGTGTTAAAGTAAGATCTTCCCTCTGCAACTTACGGAACTCCAACTTGGTCAGATGCGGGGGGAGTTTCTGAGGGTCTTGAGGGACAGCGGTAGCAGTAGAGTCAGCTGGCTGTGGACGTGCGGCTTGTGCACGGGTGGTCACGAGAACCGGAGGAGAAACTTCATCACTCTCTTGAACCTCTGCTGGAACATACTCAAGAATAGGGTTTATTGGCACAGAGTTACACACCTGGGGTTTGTCCATGACGATCAGGTTGGTCGGTTGCAGGTCTTCTGCCAAGTCGTTGCCTAGGAGAAGTTGCACTCCAGGCATGGGAAAAGGCTTTTCCCTGACGGCGACTTGGACTTCCCCGTTCACGTAGGGACAATCCAGGTGGACTCTGGCGAGAGGGTATGGAGTGGTAGCAGTGAGGTCAGTGATGAAGACTGTTTCCCCGGTGTAGACTATGTTGGGCACAGCCGACTTCAAGATGATCGATTGTAGAGCCGCTGTGTCCCTCAAGATCTTCAATTTGAAACGTCCCTCCGGATTTGAACCGTTGGCAGAGACAGTTCCAGTATACAGGTGGTTACTGAAAAGAGAAAGATCATTAACATCAACACCAACATTCATCACAGGCTTACCGGACTTAGGAGGAGTTGGTTTGGGTCGTTGTTGGTCAGTGGTTCCCTTGTATTGAGACTTACCACACTTGTCTATGGTATGTCCATAGAGTCTACAATACTTGCAGTACAGTTGTGAACCAGCTTGATCGGGGCTCACCTTCTCGTAACTGTACCACGACTTCTTACTGGAGGATGGTTCGGGTGTCAGCCGGTGGATGAGGCTGTAAGTGTCAGCCGACTTAGCACACTTCAGGTAGTCGGTTTCTTCTTTATCTGCTAAGTAGAGGCGGACAGGAGGTGGCACACGTCTCAAGAATTCTTCAACAAGCATCAGGTTGACGAGTTCTGTAAAAGTAGAGACATGTGCTGCTTCCAGCCATTTCATGAAATACCTCCGTTTCGTGTTAGCAAACTCGAGGAAGGTAGTGGTACTTGCCTTCAGGTGGTCACGGAATTTCCTTCTATAACTTTCTGTGGAAAGTAGGTAGGCGTCCAACACTGCTTGTTTCAGAGTGTAGTAGTCATTCTCAGACGCCAAAGTACTGAGTGTGACTGCAGCTCTACCTGTAAGATGGACTCTGAGAAGTGTGGCCCATTGGTCGACAGGCCAACTGAGTTGATTAGCAAGGGTTTCAAAGGTGGTGAAAAACACATCAACTTCTGCTTCTACAAAGGATGGCATTAACTTACTTGCATGTGATATATTAAAACTGACGGGAAGATTGGCAGTAGCTTGTTGGCGTTGAGTGAAGTGGGAAGTTTCCAAGGCGATTTCACGTTGACGACACTCTAGAGCCAGAGTTGCTTGTTGCTTGTCATGTTCGCGTTGCATCTCCAACTCGCGTCGTTTGGTTTCAAGCTGTACTCGTTCCCGCTCCTGGAGTAGTGCAACCTCACGTTCTTGGAGGGCGAGTCCTCGTTCGTGTTCTTCTCTCCTCAAAGCAGCTTCGCGTTCTCTGAGGGTGATTTCTCGTTCTTGTTCTTCCCTCCTCAAAGCAGCTTCGCGTTCTTGTTCTTCCCTCCGTATGGCAGCCGCTCGTTCTTGTTGTTCGCGGGCTTCCCTTTGCTGCTCACGTTCAATCTTAGCCAGCTCTAGTTTAAGTTTCATCGTTGCCAAGTCAGTTTTATCTGCAATATAGTAAGTTTCATGAGTTTCAGAGTCTATCTTACCTTGCTCTAAATAGTAATCCAGCAACAGGTTGTGTAGGTCATTTTTGTTGGCTTGGTAGGGAACTTCTAGTTGATACTCATGTGCAAGAGTTTGTAATTCAGTCCTCTTGGCACGACTTAAAGTCCCTATTTCACCTGCTGGATTTGCACGGAAAGTTTGGAGACGAAACATGGTGAAATTAGCAAATAAAGGTACACGAATATTCAATAGTGAAATGTCAGAAACAGGACAACGTGGCAACTGGTACCTATCCTGTGTGATCTTTAACAATTAACGTTAAGTGAAAGATATTAAATGATTAAATTAAATCAAGGGCGCAGGAAATCTTGTACCCGGTACTCATGTAAGAGAATAAGGGCAAGAAAATCCTACTAACAAATGAAACAAAGTTTCGAAAACAAATGAAACAGTTAAATGCTTCAAAAGTAAAATTGGTAGTCCAAGGATGTAGGCATACCTTGCCAAGTCTCTATAGGACATAAAGCAAGTTTTCCCCACTGAATTTAATATGATACTTACAGAATTAGCGAACTTTTGTGCTCTGAAAAAATAAGCTAATTCCCTACCGTTGTATGTATCATCATCTCTGACTGACGTGTAGGGGTGCGAGGTGTCAACTTGTGACGAGAACTGCTGCTGAGGTCCCAATTCAGCAACTAAAGTTCGAGCTAGA